AACAATGGTACAAACATTCCCAGCTTAAATAACCTGAATAAGTAAAAGCATTCAGAATTATGAAAATGTAAATGTCACTTCATAATATTCCTTCGTCTATTTCAGACTTTGTTGTTGATGCAACACGCAAGGGTAACAAAATACGATTTGCAAACCATTCTGTCAATCCTAATTGTTATGCCAAAGGTGAGTATCATTTTGCTTTTTCTAAAGTTTATCAAAAGGATGTTGGCTGACGAACCTTTTTTGATTTTACAGTTACAGTACAACCAAAGTACATGTCCCCCTCCTAAATATCTGAACACAAGAGTTAAGTCTGTTAGAGACACTGCAATCAGCCAATGCTCAATTTACGTATCTATAAACAAAATTTGTTTAAAGTGGATTTTAAATGATGTGAAGAAGAGAACAACTTTGTCTTCGATATAAGCACATTGTAGCCAAAGTGATTTTGAAATGTAGTCCTTATTGTAATTTAGGAAATGTGGATGCTTGTGTTATGCAAATTGGTACAAGTAACACTGGTAATAATGATTAGGTTCTTTTTTGTTTGAAAGAGCAACTTACAGGTAGTGTTGTTCCCATGCAACTGTTGCTTGTGTCTTTCAAGGTAGTGTTTTGTTCTTCATAACAACAGCACTGTGGGAGTAACTATATTGAAATGAGTAGAAGTAAGCCATTCAAGCCTTCAATCCTACTCTACCTTTTCTGGGTGATGGTTGATCAGCCATTTCAACACTTTTTTCCTGTGGTATATTCCTTGATGTCATGAGTAAATCATCACTTTTATTTTTACAACCCTGGGGTTTAAAAGAAAATGCCAAAGATTCACTACCCTCTGAAGAAATTCCTCCTTGTCTCAGCCCTAAATGGTTTGCCCCTTATTCTGATACATTGTCCCTTAGTACCAGGACATCCCACTTCTAGCTCCCAGCAAAGGAAAACATTCTTTCTGCATCCACTTTGCCCAGCCTTTTATGAATATTTGAAGTTTAAATTAGATAATTTTTCATTTTGTTGAACTCTAGAGAATACGGGCCTGTGTCCTCCATCTTTCCTCTATGAAAAGTCCCATATAGTCTACTGTGGTTCAAGAAAGTAGCTTACCACCACCATCTTGAGCAAATAAGAGTGAGCTAGCCTAGCCAGCGATGCCCATGCCCATGGAGGGAGAAAAATGGACAGTACCCAGAGAAACCTCGAGCAATGTCCAGAGATAAGGGTTATAAAACAACAACTACAACAATCTCTTAGTGTTAGGTACAACCCCAACCTCCTCCCTATTTTCCATTGATTTTAGTGGTCACACTAGACGAAATGCTGGTTTTGATGTTAACAGCGGTCACTCACCTCGCCTCAGGAATTCTGCTTTCTTCACAGAATCATGGAAGTGTTATGGCACAACAAGAGAACTTTTTATATGTTCACTTGTAGGAAGTTAGTACCATCAAATCTGGATTGAAGAAGTATACAGTAGGGCATGCTGGGATAAGCACAAGGCATACCACTAAATGAGATGTCAGTTTGGTGAAGGAACAACTTACAACTGCTTGCATTCGATAGACCGGGTTAAGTAATCGCACAACGAATGGATCAGGTCTAAGTTAATTCAATGGATGTGTCTCATGGCAGGCTGCTTTCTTAATTAGTCTGTGGGATAATGCTCCACAATTTTCATACAAGCCCTTAGATATTTGGAAGGATGACTTTATAGGGTTATTTGGGCTTGTATGGTCCAATCTAGGTGTTCACTCTGAATTCATTCCTTTTATCATTTTTATACAATAGAGCAAATAGCAAGGCCATTCCATAGGGTACATATTAATCGTATTGAAGCGTTTTTGTGGATCGAGTGACTTATTTTGGCCAAAACAATACAGTAGCTCAACTGTTGATCTGCTTTGACTCTGTAAATCTTTAATGGCTAAGTTTAAGATGCCATCCCAAAAGATGGCATCCTTGATGGTGCAGCAATTCCCTCTACTGCAAAGAAGTTCGTCTTAATTTTTGTTTGAGCCCTGAGGTTGGATTTGAATCTGAAACCTAGTGACTCGGACTTCATACTACCAGCTGAGCCATGGTTGGCACTATAGCTGGAATTTATGAATTCATATTTTTTATCTTGATTTTAGTAATGATGGTGAATGGAGACCATAGAATTGGTATCTTTGCCAAAAGAGCAATCCAGACTGGAGAAGAATTATTCTTTGACTACAGGTATGAACTTCCTTATTTAGCAGTACAAGTGTTTAGGAGAATAGGATTTGTTTCAAAATGTTCTGATGGAATTCTAATGTTAGAGCATTGCTAAAGTCAAAAGATCTGATGATGAATGTGCAAGCGTTAAAGCAAAATACATTTTGAAATTGGTTCATCCACGTAAATTTAGTTTTCCAGCATTTCAAAAACAATTTCTTTATCTCAGTGACTTGGGGATCACTACATTTGTCATATCTGTAAGTAGGAATAAACCTTAAGACTTTTCTTGTACAAAGGAAAACCATTGGGTTGTGATACTGTCACTCAGTATAGCACAGTTATGAAGTACTGTCAGCCTTTACTTTTAAGCGCTAGTGACCTGAATAATTTGAACATTATTTGAATTGCAAATCAAAACGGTTGAGCCTAAACCATCTGGTCAAGTTCAGTATTGTCTTGGAAGGTGTCAGATGGTGGCTGAAATAAATAACATTGGAACTGTCCCTTGTTAAACTTCTCTGCCAAAATTGCATAGCTGTTTTTGTAGTTGTGCACATTGTATTTTGACATTAATAATTGAGAACTATCTGGATGGTTAGATGATGCAAATGAAGGAAGCCAACGATAGAAATAGGACATCATGAGGTGTTACTACAATTATGCTCATTGTATAACATGAGAAATAGGACCAGGTTCCTTGGCCTGTTGTGCTATACAATGACATCAGGACTGATTTGATTGAGGCTTTAGTGCTGCATAACTAACAAATCTGTACAGGATGGACCTTGAATGCATTCAATGAACCAGTCCTCTGTGGGAGAGGGTTTCAAAGATAAACAGCCCTCAAGAAATTTCTCATTGTCTGTCTTAATTTTCAAACTTCTCAAACTTTTGGATTTCCCATGTGGGGAATCATCATCTCAGCATCTAGCCTCCTCCCCTCCCCCCAACACAAATAAATTGATTTTATTCTTTATTCCGTCAAGGTATAATCTGTGACTGCTAATTGTGTCCAGGAACATCTTGAATTTATATTGTTTGATTCTCAAGCTTTGTGCCCAACTAATCAGAATATTTGGTATTCTACCAATTCAGTAAGATCAAGCTGATCATCTACCACAACTCATGCTATTTCACTGCCCTACCTACAAATCCTTCGTCTCAAAATTCTACCATTCTGTCTTATTAACGTGAACAAGCACAACCTCCTGGAGTCGAATTCCAAACACCTTAAATTGTCAAGAGTAAAGAACTTTTTTTCTCCTGTCCTAAATAACTAATCCTAGGCCTGATTGTTGTCCGGGAGGGGAAAAAAGTTTCTCAGCATCCAGTCCTCAGAATTTTGTATATGAGAACATCTCTATGCCTGTAGATACAGCTCCTTGTCCATGTGCATAGTTCATGGAATATCTGAAATGCACTGTGGCAGAGAAACTTTTACTTAAACACCATAGTCACAGGTTTATGTTTTGGTCTCCTTTTGTCTAACACAGTTGGAGGTTCATGATGAAGTTACATCAAGCAGTTACAAATTTATGATCACCTAAATTGAAGGGTGTCGAGTTAAAAAGGAAAATTAACAGTTTTGAAAGTGTTTGGAAAATTGCTGGACTAAATTGATCACTTTTTTGTTTTTTTTCTAGGTACAGTCAAGCTGATGCCCTTAAGTATGTTGGTATAGAGAGAGAGATGGAAATCCCATAAAATTAAACTGCCTCAGTTATACAGGCAGCTGCTTTAATATTTCAGGATTTCTATGTACTGTATGGAAACATATTTAAACAACTCTGGTTAATTAACTACTGTGACAATAATTTATACTGAAATAATGAATCATTTTTCAAAAGCTGCCAGTTTTATATCTACTTTTACTATACACCAGTATGGTGAGCTGTTGGTGCAATTATCAATAAAAAGAACTTGAATTTTCATGATACTTCAAATATTGGACTTGCTGTTTTTGTTTTAAGCATTTGTGCAGTGTGAAACACCTTCCTAACATTTAAGATACAATCCACCTAAGCTCATAACTTTGAATAAAGGAACACATACAGGTTTGTATAAGTGGACTCATTAACGGAACATGTGTAGCAAGGTCTTCCCTACTTCTTAAAGCATTGAATATGTGCCACTTTCCTGACCACCCAATTAATATCTGCCAGCAGTCAGCTCTCATTAAGTTTGCAAATTATAAAATTAGTCACATCTTAATTTTGCCCACCTGTTATAGTAACTTTTATAAGTTATTTATTTAATGCTGTTTATTTAATGAGCTTTACGGAACCCTAATGGAAACAGACTTCCAGTTGCAGGATCCAAAATTGGCTCAATGGCAAGAAACAAATAGAATCCATAGGCATACTCCTTTCTCCGAGTGCAAAAATATAATTTTCCCCTCACAAAATCTACTCTAATAACCCATCCTTTCAAGCTTATACTTGAAAAAGCAGTATTGCTGTGTTTTTGACAATTACATCAGCTCCCAATTTCAATATTGAATAAACAAATGGAAAGAGAATAAGACATGTGCCCACTTACCCCCCAACTGATCCAAAACTATTGCCTTCAGAGATAAATGTGCTAAATAAATTCAAGTACTCTAGCCCATTAAAAATTGCTAAACAAGATTATTGAGCATTCAGAATATTTTCACTAAAAGCTAAACATTGGTTTTTGTTGTAGGTTGGATATGTTTCTACATTGAGTATAACAATGTTGCACTAAGGGATTGTTAGTGAGGGATGCCTTACAATCTGAAGTTTTTTTAAACCCAGCAAAATAAGTATTAAAGCATCAGACTATTTACAGAAATCATTAAATTTTATTTATCACACATTAAAAAATGAACCACACTATACAAATGGTTTTTCTCATAGCAGATAATGCAGATTACACATTTTTCTAAAGGGCTCGTTCAAATTCACTAGTATGCTTTCGGAAAGTGCTGCCAACATTGCATTCATAAATTAGTTTATTTTTCCCTGCTGCCCCTTACATTCAGAGCAGTGGTGGCCATGTATAGCTGAAGTAAGGTTTTTAAATGCAGAAAGGCAGTAGCATGCAACCCCGATGTAGAAGATTCAATTCCTTTTTTATCATTTTACTGTATTAAGGTTAGGGGTTTCTTTTTGATATTTACATATTGAAATGTAGCAATCCTGAGAACAGTTCTGTAAAGTAAATGTGACTGGCTGGTGGTTTCCACTCTTACTAGAGGTCCAGCAGGCAGCAGACTGGCTGCAATGGAGTTCAAGAATGCAATCTTTTACAATCCCATCTTTATCACAAAACTAATAGCATTCTCTGTATTCAAAGCCAGCATGTCTTAGGAATGAAGTTTTATTCAGACACTTTTATAATATTAAGCCAAATAACTGTATGTGTCCTTTTCCCCATCCACACGCTCCAAATACTCCTTTTCTATCAGTATGTCGATGCATTTCTGCAAAGGAAAAATTAGATAATGAGGTGGTGCAAATGCAAAGTTTTGATATTTTACATTGAACAGGTACCTGACAATACAAATGTGCAGAGAATCAACTCTTCAGTAACTTCTAGTCACCTTTCCAACAACTGATCTAGTACAGAGACAGTAGGAACTGCAGATGCTGGAGAATCTGAGATAACCAGGTGTAGAGCTGGATGAACACAGCAGGCCAAGCAGCATCAGAGGAGCAGGAAGGCTGACGTTCCGGGCCTAG